ACATACAGCTGGATTCATAGAATATCCCTCATTTTGTGACTGTCTCTTTCACTTTCTGTAATGTTTGCAAGGTTCATCCACATGTGTTAGAATTTCCTTAGTTTTGAGGGCTGAGTAATATTCGATTGTTGTACATATTACGCTCTGTTTATCCATCTGGCAGAAGACACACAGGGTGCTTCCATCATTAGTGCATGATGCTGCTGTGAGCATGAGTGTGTAAATATAATTTTGAGAATCTACTTTCAGTTCTTTGAGGTATATGCCTGGAAGCAGAATTGCTAACTCAAGTGATAATCCTATTTTCAATTTTTTGAGGTACCATATTTTCCATAGCAGCTACAACATAATGCATTCCTACCAATAGTAAATAATATTCTAATTTCTTCACAACTCACCAGGACTTATTTTCTGTTGTCTGATAGTAACTATCCTAATGTATGTAAGGTAATGTCTCTTTATGGTTTTAATTTGCACTTCTTTGAGGATTAGTGGATGTTAAGCATGTTTTCATGTGTTTATTGGCCATTTGTATATATCTTATCTGGAGAAATATCTTTTCAAGTAGTTGCTCATTAAATGGGTGGTTTGTGTTATTATTGTTATTGAATTGTAATTTTAACTTTTATATTTATTAGGTCTTTAGTCCACATTGAGTTAATTTTGACATGTGGTATTAAGAGAAGGTTCTCATTTCATTCTTTTGCTTGTAGATGTCCAGTTTTTCCAGCATCATTTTTTCAAAAATTATTCTTCCCTTCATTGAAGGATCTTGGCACCCTTGTTGAAAATCACTTCACCATACATGTGAAGACTGATTTCTGGGCTCTCTACTCTACTCCAATGGTCAATATATCTTTTTCTGCCCTATTCAACAGACATTTATAATACACCTGCTCTCTGTCAGGAGCCCTTGCTGCAAGCTGTGTAAACAAAGAAATAAGATTGCATTGCTTTTCTTGGAAAGGAAAAAAGAACAGCACAAATAAGTTCAATAGAGCAAAAAGTACAATGTTAAAGACATAGAGCTATAGGGATCCTCACCCTGGGAAACTGCTCTCACTCTTATCCATGTTAGAACATCATTATCTCTCTCCCAATAGCTGTTAAAGATAATTATAAAAACACTAACAAACAATTGCAATTCCTGATGCTTCTTGTATGGGGCACCCGGGGCCCAAGAAACTACTGCTAATTATATTAGGAAAGAGAGGTTAATTATAAAATAAACAGATTTCATTTTCATGAGAATCATAGACTATGAGGGGTCAGAGGGTCCCCAAGAGTCACTCTGGTTAACTACTTGTTTGAAATGTAAATGCCTTCTCTCTAGTTTTCCCTCTTCCTACTTCTTTCTCTTTAAAAGTTACTGCCTTGTCAGGTCTCAATTTGCTTGATGTTGAGGTATGTGAACACTCACTGGTAAGTGAATTATAAAGGATTATGAACTGTAACTTCCTATAGCAGCTTTCTTCCCTCCATTGAGAGTAATTCTAGGTTTTCTATTATGTGAGGTTTAAAAAAAAATTAATACGGACTTTAAAAGTCATAAAAGTCAGACTAATTTGGGCATGTTATTACATTAAGAAGAGATAGCTTGGCTGATTTGAGCTAGCCTGTTTCACTTAATCATGATTTCTCAATAAGAATTTATGTGCAGCCGTCTTTTTAATGCTGGTAACCTTTGAGAGAGATATGAAGAGCCATCTGCTTAATTATTGCCAAATATACTCTGCTCTAAATGTGGAGCCGACATGTCCTGTTGGCTTTCAGCTTAAAGCTGTAGTTGAGTTCTGTTGGGTTATTCAATGGGAAAACTGACTGGGAAAATGCTGTTACTTACCCAGGGATAACTTACTATTTCTATGTTTGAGCAAACTGCTGAGCAATGGACTGTGCTCTGTGGGAGAAAAAAAAAAAAGCTATTTTTTAACACAATAGTGCATGCTCAAGCATCTGTAATGCTGTCAGAAAAAATAGATACAGTCTTCATGCTCTGTGTCACTTTATGATTTTAGGTTTTTTATCCTTCTGTTTTGGTTAGGTTGTGTGTTAAATAACCCAAAAAACTAAGAATGTGAGAGCAAGACGTGGTGCCCAGACTATTTATACTCTCTGCTTCATGCCATGAAGAATTTATATCAGTTTTGGGTACTTATTGTTCAACCAAATTACTTAAATCAGGAAACTGATACCTTTAGTAGTGCTTTCACCCAAATCATATAGGTAGCTAGAGGGAGTGCTAGAACTAAAATGCCTATTCTATATAAACTAATGAAGTGAATGAGTTTACTTTACATTTATAAATGTGTGTGTGTGTGTGTCTGAAATATGTATGTATTTATATACATATAGCTTTCTATCTATGTAATGTCATCTGGGAAGAGAACAAATTTAGAGCAAATGCTCATATAGATCAAGTAAATAAATCACAAATGGTATATACACACTTTTATGAAAGGTATGTTTTAGTGTCTGTAAGGTATGTTTGTGTATGTTGTGATAAATTTGGTGTAGAGGTCCTGATAAGTTTGTTTCAGGAAAGGACACTTATGATAAAGTTGGAATGGAAAATAGAAGTTTAAAAAACAAACAAAAAATTGAGATGATAGGCACAGAGAGCAGAAGAGAATAGTACAAGAGAAAGCCCTGAGATGAGTGGACCTTTGTTGAAAAATGAAAAGCAAGTCTGTATCTCTGGACTGAAACAAAATGAGCAAAGAGGAGAAAGGCAGAGCTGGACGCCAAGTTCTTCAAGGCCTTCTAGCCTGGCCAACAATTTTTTATTGAGGTAATGTAGTTTACAGCAGCATATGACTTAGAAGTATAGGTTCATATTGCTTTGGGTACATGTTATCACATCACACCCACTACTACCAAAGCACTCAGAATCCTTCACCACATAGGTCACTAGGTTCTCCTCCCCACTTCCGTCTACCTCTGTGTCCCCCCTTTTATATTCTCAATTCTGCTATCAGATTTCTAGTGTTTGTTTTGATATTTTTTTCTGTTCTTTTGTATCTGTGTGTTCCACATATGAGTAAAATCATTCAACATTTGTCTTTGTCCTAATTTCATTTAGCACTGTCCCTTCCAGTTCCAATCAGGTTGTCTTAAATGACAAAGTTTTAAATCTTTTTTTTTAATAGCTGAATAGTAGTCCCGATTGCGGAGGGAGGTTTGGTGGGTGTCTTGTGAATCCACCATCTGCCAACAGTTTGGACTTGTATATAAGAAACCATTGAAGGGTTTTATGAAAGGGAATGACATAATCAGACTTATCTATTAGAACCATAATAACTTTGTTGGGTAAAGAGCAGATTGGAGAGAGGATAAAGAGAAAAGTTGGGAGGTGAGAGAAGATGTTCTTAGGTTAATTTTGGTAAGAAATGATGATCACTTGAACTGGAATAGGATGGAAAAACTCAAGGTATATTATGAATAAATAAAATTTCATGATGAGCTGCATATACAGTTACTTTCAAGAAAGCATTTTAAGAAAGACTTCCAGAGTCTTGGTTGTACAACTGGAAAGGTATTGTTGACATTTACTCCAGTAAGTTGTCAATCTTTCTTCTATATTAACAGATACAGATATGCATAATAAAGCATGTTAAGTTGAAAAATTGTAAAGATATAGGTAAATAAGGCTATTTATAGTTCCATAATTTGAATATTTTTTAAACCAACATTATTGTAATTTTTTTTCATATCATGTGCATCCTTGATATTATACTCATTATACACAAATGCAGTTTTACTTATTTAACTCTAGGGCTTGAAATTTGGAATTTATCTGAAATTAGAATGACAAAAAGAATTATATTTTTATTTGAGATGTTTGTAAGACACCTAGTGAAGATGTAAGTAGGAATTGGATTTGAAAGTCCTAAGCTCAGAAAAGATCCACACTGAATGTGAATTTGGAAAAACTCATTATATAGATGGTCTTTGAACTTAAGAGCATAATTGCCTATTTGAGGTTACTGAACTTATATTGGTGAATGGTTAAGTTTAATAAAGAAAGGCATTTTTAGGTAACACAGTAATATGATTAAAACACCAAAGCAGAAATGTTAAGACCAATGGATCTTTCCCCAATTGCTGAGAACAAATGGGTTGTATTTTTAGTGCCCTTTTTAGTCAGATAGTGGCTATTCTGGATTCACTAATACTAAGGCAAGAGATGGGTGGGTAGTTTTAGGTTTTTGCATACTACTAAGAAACACTTGTCACTTCTTTGGTTTATATTGTGGAACCTAAACTCAAACTTCACAGTAATCTTGAGATAATAATAGTCATGCATCCCAAATAAATGGTAAAGAGTAGATTCTCCCACTTAAACACTACCTATAATTTGTTAGTAACATAATGGAAATAGACCTCGGTGATCAGAACTAGTTTTTTGGAGTTGTTCTTTGCTTGTCACCTGGTGGTAAAGTTTCCAGTCCTCTCCTCCTGTAGGATGATGAGGAGTCCTATTAACTTTACCCACAAAGCATTACTTGAATCTCTGCTTTTCCTACCCATCACTCCTTACCATGTCCACCCAGGTGGAGCCTTTTGTATACATCCCATCCTTTTTAATTTGGCAGAACACAGAGAAGCCTGGGAATCTTTCCAGTTCAAAGGACAAAATACTCCAGACATTAACGGGGCCTAGACATTACATGTGTCCATTTGAAAGATTTATACTCCTCAGTGCTAAGAGTTGATGCCTTTCCAAAATTATCCTCTGTAGCACCTGACTTACTGTTTGGCCAATTCCTGTCATCATCACTCTCTGTCACTAATAATTACATCTTGGTACCCTTGAGAATAAGTCTTTGTGTGTGTATATGTGTGCCTGATAGCTTTGCAGCTTAAAATTAACATATATTTATGTTGGTTTTTTTTTTTCCTGTGGTGCTGTGTGTATATTTTCAACTAAGAACTGACTATTATAATTTGAGCCAGGAGTTTAGAGTTTATACTGATTCTGACTATTTTTACACCCATAGAAATGAAGATGCAGTCAATCAGATGGCCGTCACTCCTTTTGCATTATCCTCAAGTTCTCCATCTTCTATTGAGGTAAGAAACTCTTAATGCTTAGTGAATTAATGAGATTGATTTGTCATGATCCTTTTTACCAAATCAAATAATTTTTTTTAACTCTTAGACTAAGCTCATAGAATTCATTTACTAAAGAATTTCCCTAAGTAAAATAGAAAGTATTTTTGGTATTACTAAAATAAATATCTAAAACAATAGTAAACACACACATTAGACCTTAACAATATGAGTTTTATATTTTCAAAGTTCCTTTGGTTCCTTCTGGATATATGGTTTATCCTAATAGGACATCTAAAAATTTATAAGAACATTCTCAATTAAAAGATTTTCCCGGGCCCTCCCTGGTGGCGCAGCGGGTTAAAGCACCACACTAAGAAGCTAAAAGCTACTTCTGCATGAGTTCGATTCCCGCCTGCCCCGGAGGTGACCACATGGGGTGGCAGACCTCTCCTGACCCACCCGCTGCTCCCCTCAGCAGTGTACTTCATTGATCTGCCTGTTCTGCTCCCCTCTCTGTCCCTGGTGAATCCTCTCACCCTCCGCATCTCTGGCCTGTACCCCAGTTCTGTATGAATAATAAAATAAATCTTTAAAAAAAAAAAAAAGATTTTCCCATTTACCATGACCTAGTGGAATTTATTCCAGGGTTGCAAGGATGCTTCAGCATACACAAATCAACTAATGTAACATAAAACACATCAACCAATGGAAGTAAAAATGTATGATCTTAAAAATAGATGCAGAGGAAACATTTGACAAGATTAAGCACCCATTTATTATTTGAAAAAAACAAAACAAAACTTAATAAAATGGGGATAGAAAGAACATATCTCAACATGATAAAGGCCAAACACTACAAGTCCATGACTAAAGTAATACTCAATGGTGAAAAGTTACAAGTTTTTTCATTAAGGTCACAAACAAGACAGGGTTGTCCATTTTCACCACTTCTATGTAATTTAGTATTAGCAGTCTCAGCCAGAGCAACTTAGACCGTACACACACACACACACATCACCCCAAAAATGAATTGTTTACGTTACAATCAATTCTAAAAGAGTTGAGTTTCTAGGAATAAATCTAACAAAGAAAGTAAAAGACCTGTGAGACACTTAAAAAATATAGAACAAGACACAATAAAATGGAAAGGTATTCCATGTTCATAGATGAGGAGAATTATTATAGTCAAAATGACCAACTTAATTAATAAAAGTAATATACAGATTCAATGCAATCCCTATCTAAATTTATTTTTAAGAACTAAAAATACTAAAATATATGTGGAACCAGAAAAGACCCAAATTTTTAAAGTTCTTTATCCATTTAGTCATTGTTATATAACCTAATCAGATGACTCTGTAGTGCCAAAGATTGCACAGATCTGTCAAACCACCAGAGATAAGAGCAACAGAATATCTCAGTAATGGACTCAGACATATGCCATATAATGCTACCATAAAGTCAGAGTGATCTGCATATATTGGATAAAAACTTTAACCATTCCTTCTTTTATTTTTGTATCTTTTTCCCCTTCTTAAATTTTTTGTTTACTTCCCTCCATTCATTCACAAACTTACCAGACAAGACTTAAGTTTCTGCAGCCTTGGACAATCATTGCTTTTAGAATCATTGAAGCAGTCACAAAAGAACAGTTACCCAAGATTCAAAAAACATTTTTTTTTAAGATTTATTTATTTATGCTTACAGAATTGGGGTACAGAGGTATGGTGGGTGAGAGGATTCACCACAGACAAAGTGAGGAGCAGAACAGGCAGATTCACAAAGTACACTGCTGTAAGGAGCATTGGGCAGGTCTGGAGAGGACTGCCGCGCCATGTGGGTCAGTTCCCTGGCAGGGGATTGAACTCATGCTGCAGTGGCTTTAGAGAGCTTCATTATGTGGTGCTTTAACCTGTTGTGTCACCAGGGAGAGCCCCCAATTTTTTTTTTAATGTAGCTAATGGCCAATGTCTACACTCTAACTCAGTTATGAGACTCAACTGTTCCTCACTGCTCTAACACACTGAAAATGTAATTCGATTTGCAGGAGATGGATGGCTTCTCAGGGTTCACATTGATAGAAGCAGCATAGTTCTGGCAGCCTCTGTTCTTGTTTCAGCCTCCCAATGTTAGAAATTTGAGATTACATGATATATTTTATGCTCATAACTAATGTAACTGGGGAATTCATAGCATCAGCAGAACAGAAAAATGATCTATTTTATGCAGGTCAATAAAGCATTGACCTGTTATTGTTCTGCAGAGAATGGAAATTGGAAGTCAAACACCCTTTCTATTCCAAAATAGCGTCCCAGACAGTTTGTGGTTTTCCATTTAAATTGTTTGGAGGCACCCCTCCCTGCTCCCTGCCCAGGCAGGGGGCTTGCAGCTGCCATCCTCTCTGCCCTTAGAGTTGGCTCTTGATACTGCAGAACAGCATCACAGATGTGTCAAAAAGTGTTTTGATCCCTGAAATAATGAGAAAAATGTCTCAGGAGAGATGTTCTGAACAAGTTCAAGATTTGACCAAATGTTGCAAAGACTCTGGAATACTTTTTGTAGTAAAATGCCAGAAACAAAATTCTGCATTGAAAGAATGTCTAACTGCTTACTATAATGATCCAGCCTTTTATGAAGAATGTAAACTGAAATACTTGAAGGAAAGGAAAAAATTTAGAAAACCTGGAACTTCTACCTAGAGAAGGCTACAGAAGTTTCCTACAAGCATGTAGGCAAATATTCAAATGATACTCAGAAATTCTAATATTCATAGAAACCCCAAACACCTGAAAAATGAACTTAAGAAATAGTGTGTGCTTTATCCAAAATTAAGGAAATAGTAAATCTTCTCTGAAATATTTATTTAATTGCAAAAAACAATAATTTGTTAGATTACTTGGAGGTAGTAATTAATGCGTTTTCCAGGGCAGTATTTAATATAGCACTGAATAAATGATGCATGTTGTTCATAAATGAGTGATCAACTAATAGCAAGTGGTTTATTTTTCTTTAATAAAGTAGCATAAAACAAAAAAAAAAAAGGATTCACTAAGACATGTATATCTTCTGCTTGGCACATGATAGCTATTCAAAAATGTTACAACTTAATACCTGATTCTTTTCTGGTATATATGTGTCTTTATGTGTCATATAATCTTTTAGGGAACGGGAAGGGGGGGAGAAATGGTCTAATTTTTTCCATGTTAGTGATTAGTGTGTCCACTAAAATATTATTCCCTTGAAACTCAATTTTAAAGGAATAATTGAACCTGGTTTCTATTATGTTATACTCTTAGATGCTTTCAATATCTTGCCCCATGTCTCAATTATATCTAGGTCTCTGAGAGCTGGTATTATGTTTTCTACTTTACAGAAGACACTGAGGTCTAGAAAGAGTTAATAGCATATCCACATGACTGAAAGAAGTGTTATTCAGCATCAGCTTCCTCAACCATACCAAACCTTCATAGACTTAGTAATGAGTAAAGTGAACAATGTATATAAAGCATTTAGTATAGCTCATGGTGCAAAGTAAAGGTTCAATAAATGTGAGCTATTCAAATTTTTAAGTATATTTAACTTAAATTTAAGTGTATTATGCAGTTAGCTACTATCTTCATTCTTTAAATAAATTAACCACAGAAAGAGTTATACAGTCACCTATAAATAATACATTTTATTAAAATTAATACCTATTAATTGCATTGTAAAGAGGGTGTTTTATTTTCTCTCTAGAATATTAGCTTCCAATAACTGCCTCCAGCTTGTGGATCCCCCTCACTTGACTGGTGTGACGTGTTGGTCCCCTGTCTACTCTCTTACCCCTTCCATTTGTCTACGTGGCCTCCCTCACAATGCTTTTTCTCCCCTCAGCTGTTTCAAGTAAATACATAGCTGTAGCTCATATCTGACATATTGCTCAGAGAGCTGACCTCCTCATATCATAATAAAACAGGTAATTGTAGATATGTCAGTAAGTTAAACCTAGTATCAAGTTAAACGTAATAGCAATAATCATACTGTGCACTAGCACTATTATACTAGTGGAACTCAAATTCATTCCTTTATTGAGCAAAATTGCATTGCAACCTGACTATGTGTCTGGCACTGTTCTAGATGCCAAAGGATAGCACAGAACAGAATCATTTCATGAAATTTTGTGCTAATAGAGTTCACAAGAGTTGCTGATACAACATTGAACAAGAAGTCTGAAGATGTGGGTTCTTGTTTAAGCTCTACCCATCACTGTGGGCATACATTCATGGTCATCCTTCCAGTGTCTGCCTTTTTCTGTAAAGCGAATGGGTAGCTATGAGATCAAATATTAGTTGTAGATTAAAATATTTTATAGTCCATGTAACTATATCACTTATAGGGGGTCATTAGTATTTCTACTACTCTGCTCTTGGTAATTGTAATATTTTGGGGGCAGTTGTTGAGCACATTGATTAAGAACATAAGCTTGGAAATCACTCAAACCTGAGTCCATATCTTTGTTCTGCCATTTATTAGCCATTCATTGAACTTGAACCAGTTAAGGCCTGTAAACTTCAATTTCTTCATTATTTAAAGGGGATTGATAGTAATAAATATTTCTATAGATTTATTGGAAGAATTGAATAATGTTCTGTTGACCCTCCCTCCTTTTATACACATCTTGTGTTCTCCAACCCTGTGTCTTTGTTCCTTTCATTTCTTCCATTCGGGTTGCTTTTCCACTTCCTTTTTATTAAACCACAGCCCCGAATCCCTTGAAGAATTGCTTTTGGAAGGCTTCTCCATGTTTTCTATTATTCTAAATGAATAACATAATGTACGGAGCATGTGCCTAGAATATAACAAGTGTTCAAAAATTGAACAATAACCAGCAGGACTAACTTCATCCCCCATCCTTCCCTTCAGTAATATTACTACCTTCATCATTAAGTAACATTCATGAGTCACTTAAAAAGTAAAAATTATTTTTTGTCTTTTGTGTGAGGTCACTTGGGCAAAGAGGAACCCATTTCTAAATAGGT